TTTTATATTGCCCATCTCATCTGCATACCTTTGGGCGGTTTACAAATAAAAATAATAATAATACAGTATCTGGAAACATTTAAAGGGACATTTGTTCCAACAAGTATAATGGAGGTCCTGTGCCATAAGAGGTATGTTGTCTCTCAGTGCCACTCCAAAACTAGCTGTCAGCCTTCAAGATCTTTTCTACTTTTCTATTGCTTTCTATTGCTTTGCATCTTTCGGCTGCCATGAGTAACGGGGGGAGGAGGGGTTGCATCCTGTGGGAAGAGAACTGGAGGTGTTACATTCTTGTCTTGTATAAATGAGGAGTTGGAGGAGGGGGGAGTATAAATTCCTGCTCTTAACTTTCTATTTCCTTGCTTAGCTTTCTTTCCTTTGCGCAGCTGCGAAGTTTTATCAAAATATGTCAAGGTCAACGGACAGAGGCCTCATCACCACCTGAAGATGCCCACATGATCATATTCAGAACTTTTAATTGGAAGAGTCTTTTGGACTTTGGGGGGTGGGAACAATTCCATCCCTTTGTATATGTGATCTGCGCACCAAATTCCTTAGATTCAGAATTCTACCCTTAGCTTCCACTTTGAATTTCAGTAAAAGAAAAACTTTGCTCTAATCATTTGAGTCTTTCTTTCTTGGATTTTGAATGGAGCACAGACTGACACTAGCTAAATAAATAAAACCCTGCCCAAGTGAACAAGATATGTATTTGATTTCATTTTTTTCAAAATGCTTTTCTTTCATGACAGTTGTGCTCTTGCGATTTGGCATAATGACCCTGGACAAAAAATGGGAAATAATAATACGGGTAGTCCTCCATTTATGGCTACAATGGAGTCCAAAATTTAGGCTGCTGAGTAAAACATTCAAGTGTGTTTGCCCCAATTTTACGACTTTTCTTGCCACCGTTGTTAAATGAATCGTTACATTTGTAAAGTTAGCATCCCGGTTGTGAAGAGAATCTGGATCTCCCGTGGATTTGGCTTGCTGGAAGGTAGCAAAAACAGAGCACAGGACCCTAGCACCTTGCAGCCGTCATAAATATGAAGCAGTGGCCAAGCATCTGAATTTTGATCAGGTGACCATGGGGAGGCTGCAACAGTTGCAAGTGCGAAAAACAGTCGTAACTCACTGTGATGACACGGAGCGTGGCACAAAGGCAACACAGTCAAATAAGCAAGAAGAGTTCCTTTATTATCTCCAACTTTGCTCCCCAATGTCCAGGTTACCTTCTGGCTGGAGAAAAACTCCCAGGAACAGCCTTTGGCTTCAGAGAATTAAGTCCAAAACAAGGCACATACAAACTGTAACTAAAAATCCAAACAAACCAAGCGGAAGTAATTAACTTGACAGACCGGGAGGAGGATTTTCAGACTTGAAAGCACGGCAAAACTCACACAGTTGGGAAGACACCAGAAACACAGATAAGCCACGATACCAGATAATTCACGATTTGCTCCCAACAATTTGCTGTGCACAGCTTCCTCTTTTATACAGTGTTCCCAGCTGCAGCTAATGAAGGGAATCAGGGCCCTTTCCTCCCCCGTGAGCCACGCAACCCACGTTGCTCTCTTCTCCATTCCTCCCTGCATGCCCTAGGATGAAGAGGGGGTGGGCCTGGGTCTTCCTCCAAATTCCCTCTGCCTTGCTCTATCTCTTCCCTGCTCTGCCCAGCCGGCCTTTGCCCTTCCCCAGTTTCTTCCACAGGCAATGGAGCTACATTCCCACTGTCAGCTGTACGTCTTCCTCCTCAAATTCAGATTCCGACAGGGGCATAGGAGTCTTTTTTGTGTGTGTGTCATTGTAATTTTTGAATGGTCACTAAATAAACTGTTGAAAGTTGAGGACTACCTGTAAATTTATAAAATACGTAATTGTTACAAAAATATTTGAAATTTCCCTTTTTGAATTAAAGGCTTGCTGGTAGTACTCAAGTTACGACCGTAACAATCTGGCAAATATGGTCATATGTTATAATGGTTGTAAAACAAAGCACATTACCCAATCCCATTTTTACAAGTTTTTTTGTGGTGTTCCTTATGCAAATCTTTGTTCCCTACGAGGCATTTTTTTTTTGCTGGAAAAAAAGGAAGTAAACGCCATCTCGGTTGTTTAATTTTCTTTGGCTGGCTTTGTCTCTCAGAACACCTGATGCAAAGAACAGAGAAGTAGCCCTCAACTTGTATCCATTTGTTTAGTAACTGTTCAAATATACTACAGCATTGGAAAAGGACTGGTTTTCACACCTATGACCGCAGTCCTTGACTTACGACCCAAAAATTCTGAGCCCCAAAATTCTGTTGCTGAGTTATTTGTTAAGTGAATTTTGCCCCATTTAATAAATATTCCTGCCACGGTTAGGGTAAGTTTTAGCAGACGTGGTATTCAGCAGGTTCTGACCAGCTCTGGAGAACCGATAGTGGAAATTTTGAGTAGTTCGGAGAACTGGCAAGGACCGTCAGTTCTTGGCACCACCACCATCTATTCTCTGCCTCCCAAGTCCCAGCTGATCGGCTGGATCTTCTTTTGTTGCCCTGCACAGGAGAACGGAGCTGGAAAGCAGGTTAGTGGGGTGGGAAGGAAATGGGGAGTTTGCAGTATCCTTCCCCTGCCATGCCCACCAAGCCACACCACGCCCACCAAGTCACGCCCACAGAACCGGCAGTAAAAAAAAATTTGAATCCCACCACTGGTGTTTAGTGACCATTCAAATTTACAACGGCACACAAAAAAGTGACTTATGACCGTTTTTCCACACTTTACAACCGTTACAGCCATGGTCATATGGTCAAATGCTTGACAGCCAACTCGTATTTATGACGACTGCAGTGTTCTTCAGAGCTGAAGAAGCTTCTTGGATGAGAAGCAAAACGTCTTCAAGGAAAAACAAACAAGTCCAGTTGCCTCTTGAAAAAAAACATCTTTGGAACAACCCTGGCCTGGATGACTGGGAATTTCCATAGACAATGTCTCACTCAGCAAGAGAAATTTTAGATTCGATTGTGGTCGTAAGTCCGAGGACTACTTGTAATAACTCTCATTGACCTCTCCTCAAAATTCTGACTTCCCCGGCGTCTTCCCCAAATGGGGGGCATTTGTGTGGTCCTTCACAAAGGGAACATCTTGTGCCATATTCAGGTTGTCTCTAGCATGAATTCTCTGGTGGGTTTTCAAATTTCCCATCTGACTGAAGCTTTTTCCACACTGGGTACATTTATACGGCGTCTCCCCAGTGTGGATCCTCTGGTGTATCTTCAAAACATTGGTATGGGTAAAGCATTTCCCACACTGAGCACATTTGTACGGTCTCTCTCCGGTATGAGTCCGTTGATGTCTCTTCAGAATCCCCGTTTCCCGGAAGCATTTGTCACAGTGGGAACATTTGTACGGTTTCTCTCCGGTGTGAATGCGCTGGTGTTTCCTCAATGTGCCCATCAGGTTGAAGCCTTTCCCGCACTGCGAACACTTGTACGGCGTCTCCCCCGTGTGGATTCGGAGATGCCTCTTTAAAATCCCCGTCTCTCGGAAGCATTTTCCGCACTGGGAACATTTGTAGGTCTCCCCAGTGTGAATCCTCTCGTGTATCTTCAAACAGTTGGTGTGACTGAAGCATTTCCCGCACTGGGAACATTTGTAGGGTCTCTCTCCGGTGTGAATCCTTTGATGGGTCTTCAGGTTGCCCGACTGGTTGAAGCATTTCCCACAGTGGGAACATTTGTACGGCTTCTCCCCGGTGTGTATTTTCTGGTGCTGCTTCCAGTATTTGGCTTTATTGAAGCATTTCCCGCACTGGGAACATTCGTACCATCCTTCTTCAGTTTTGCCAGCGGGGATTTTGCTGAGAGAGTTGACGCCGCTGTTGGCGCGTTCAGAAGAGTTACCTGTTTCTCCAAGATGGCTGCTTGGGTGGGCGCTCACGTTATTAACCCCTGCGTTCCCAGAGATTTCAAACCTTTTCTCAATGATGAGGTTTCTCTCTTTTGGACTGGTGCTTGAAGTACGCTGGCAGCTGTCCTCAAATCTCTGAGGGTATTGCTCTAATTTATCCGTAGAAGGCACCTCATTCAGCTCCACGTGGTAGAGGTATCTTCTATCGTACTGGGAGAACAAAGACATATTATTCTCCTTGGAAATAGCGGCCTTTTCAGCAGTAATAGCAGGAGTAAATTCCTGTTGTAACGAAATATGTTGGTTCTCACACCCCAGGGTGGGCTTCAGCTGCTGCTCTCTCGACTTGTGGTCTTCTTCCACCATTTCTACTTTTACTGGGAGATTCCCAGAACTAAACTCTCGATCTCTCCTGCATGTTGACTCTAATTCCTCTCCTCGATTCTCAGAATTCTCCATTTTGAATTGTGTTTCCAGTCTGCTCTCTACAGAGGAAGACAAAAAAAAAAAAAAGTTAACCACAGTCATGTTATTTTAGTTCCAGTGAACAAGGAATGTATTGCTGTTTCTTTTAAAACAACACGTTTTGTTGTCTCAGTGATCATACTAAGTTCTCCACCAGAAATGTAGATTTTTACATCAGACATAGAACTTGTCACTTTGAATGTACACTAATCAGCATACATTAAAATGAAATTTCATTGCATACAGCTCTCAAAGGCTCACCACCTCCAATGTACACTACATAAACAAAATAAATAAATACAAAATTATGCCTACATCTACATATATTATATGACACATAAATGGAATATTACATGGTATGGGATTTATTTTATCAGTGGCTGGAAAATAAAACAATTGAAAATGGATTAGATGAATATACAGAGAAATAAGATTGTTAAATAACAGATATATTAAATAATGGCTATAAGGAAATATGATTATTGTTATATTGGTAAGAAAAGTATTAATTATAGTTGTAAGCATAAGATATATGTACTCAGTCGACACACGGTTGAAAGATGGAATTATTGTAAATATAAAATAAAAATATTTAATTATACATATGTGTTGTGATTCCGGCATCTGCTACAGGTTTTTTGAATGACAGCTCC